ACAGCTATTTGTTGCCCCAGCCCTAGCTACAAGCTCCACAGGAGAATGCTGCCTCTGGGGCTGACCAGGGGGTGCTGGTTGCCAGGAGCTAAGGCGGCCTTGGAGTAAGCAAGCAAGTGGATGAGGGAGCCCAGCCACCCAGTCTGCCAGCCCTTGCTGGTGGGAATGGATGGACAAGTCCTAGGCCCCTGTGGGGCAGCGTGAGGAGGCACCTCTCTCTGGGGTGGGGCAAGCTGAGAGACAGCGTGGCAGCAGCTGCCTGGAGGACTCCCAAGGAAAGGGGAGAGGAGAGGATGCTGAGGGAACACTCCACAAGGGAGGGTCTTCGAAAAGGGGCGAGGAGCTTCCAGCTCTGCAGGCAAGGGGTGACATAACTGGGCTCCTGAGACCCACAGGGGTGCTGCAGAAAGAATGCAGTTGGCCAAGGGAGCCGTGGACTCAAAAAGGTTGAAAATCTCTGCAGTAAAGAATTGAGGTCCATTATCACTCCTCACAAGCTGTGGGGCCCCACGCCTGGAAATGTTGGACAACCATATTAGAAGTCAGTTCAGCCAATGTGGCTTTTTCTGGAAATGAGGAATAGTAGTCCATGAGCAGACGATGCCAGTTTCCCTGGTAATGAGAGAGGTTGTGCAACAGTATTAGTAGTACATGGTGAGTGCTACCCTTCTGAATGCAAGCCAGAAATCTTTTCATTTCTTCTGTTTCTGTTAAGAGTCCCAGCCACCAAACTGATTATTTTGTCGAGGCCCAACACTCTGGTGTCCACTATGGATTTAGCAGTGTTCACAGTGCATTCTAAAACACAGTAATTTTGCTTCACGTAAAATGGAGTCTCTCCATCAATAGATACCATCCATGTGACCAACATTAGCCAATCACATGAAAACTACTAGATAACTCTCTAGAATTTAGTTACCAACCGATCAAATTTAACACAGTATTTAACACAAGCATTTACAATTTCAGAGAATTAAATTACTATATTTAACAAAACCATCCCAAGAAGTTCACCATTTATCAAATGATGTGATCTTCTCTGGATCTGAGTTCATCCCATTTGCGTTAGTAATATGCCCCAGGAAGGAGACTTGTTGGACTCCAAACTTGCATTTTTCAGAGCGAAGTGTGACATTCGCTTCTTTCAGTTGCTGTAGGGTCTGTCATAGCTATATTTAAGCATGATTTTCTACAAGTGTTGAGGGGGGAAATGTACGGAAAAGTTATCATGCGTGTGTGAATATGAAAGACTGTGGATTAAAATATGTGCCCTGTTTGGTTCGTGGTATTCACAGAAGGGCTCACATAGCTGAAGGAATCCTGGCACAGTTGCTAGCAGGGGCGAGATATGCAAAGTGCTGAGCAATGATTCTCGTAGTTCCCAGAGTCCCCTGGACACAGGCAGGCCTTTCTGAGCTCAACAATGGCCTCTTCATGAGCCGGCTAGCCAGTGGTCAATCTGGCATGCCGTCCTTGTCACATGAAAATATGAGAGGAAGGCTTGGGATACAGAAATTTTGAACCTTTTCAAGTTGCTTAGGAAACCCAGAAATGAAACAAAGACTTTTGTTAAGTCACAGAATGAATAAAAGAAATTGCAAAAAATGATTAGAAACAGAAAATAAAGACTTCACACACACACACACACACACACACACACACACACACGTGATGTTAAATTATCCTTTGCTCCTTGATGCAGGCAGTTACTTGGTGCTAAGATTTGTCATACACAAAATCCTTAAGCCTTGCTACATTTGAAGTGTGATGTGTGGGTGAAGCAAAGCACTTGGGAGGCAATTATTTGCAGTACTATACTGTGGTGGCAAGAGTTTCTGGTCTAGGCATAAGTGCGAGGGCTTCAACTTTTTACTACAGCTAGAGCTATGATTAATTTCCATAGTATTTAGAATGGTACACCTACAACAGCTTCAAATATTTAAAAGAGCCGAGACTCAAGAATATCAGGGCTGGAAGGAAACAGGTGTACGGGGGCCGTGGGATTTATCCTCACAACAAACCTGGCTGAGTGATTTGTCTTGATCTTTGATTTACTTTTAGTAAGGGTTTATAGGGTGCTTTGTTCACTGTTCTGCACTCTGCAGAGACTTGCTGTTGTCTGTTTGCCTTGCTGGTTTGGCACATATTCAGGGGTTACTGTGGGAATTATTGGGGTAAAGGGCTGTATACAAACGTCTTAAGGGCTGCTTTGGATGCAAATAGTTGCATGAAATAAAATCTATCAGAGAATGTTAGTGCCATTTGTAATATGAAAGCAGCTCAACTCTTCTTTCTGTGGGAAACATTGCCACCTTGTGGACACAGCTCTGCTTTCAAAATTAAAAAAATAAGGAATTATTTAAGGCTACATCATATCAAGGGAGAGTGGGAATTCTCAGGTAAAAGCAAGTGCTATTGCTTGTTTATTATTATTTCTTTCATACACCTAGCATCATTTTGGCTTTGAGCAATTTACAGCCTCTTGAATGAGGCTTCCAGGAAGAGCCTGAGCAATGCAGTAGCAAAGCTTGTCCGTCTTCAGGTGTGTATCTTATGGGTTCTACCCACGTTGAGAATTCCCCTTTGTGAGGGATGGGCTGAAAGGGAGATTTGTGTCCAGGACCGGGCGATTGTGGGCAGTGGGGTAGCATCGTCTGGAGTCTGCAATCGACTGAATACCGCTCAGTAGCAGCATTGTTGCCCAGCCGCTGCTTTGAGTCATTGTCTGAGGAACTGTGTCTCAAACACAGATGGTGTCGAGATCTGTGGCTATTGCAAACTAGACATGGTGCACAACAAAACGTTTTTCATCTCTGCAACCCTTCAAGAGAAAAGGGGATCTTGCTCTTTAAAAAAAGGGGGGGGAGGGACACAAACTGCAGTACCAGAAGTTTGCAATAGCTTGAAGCTTACAGATCATACCTTGTGATATTCATTTATTTAATAAACTGATAAGCTGACTTTAAAAAAAATCCCAAGGTGGCAAGGAACTTGCTGAGCCAGATGTTTCAATGATTGCCTGGTCACCTGCAAGAGCAGCTGCCCCACATCTTCTTGCTAATGTCTTCTGAAGACACCACACGAAATGTTGCTGTAATCAGAGTTCCCCCAACTCTCGCAAGTGACTGCCAGTGAAGTGGAGCAGAAGCTGTGGAGCTCTGATTATGACATCATACCATCTGCCTTTTACTCAGGGCCAGCCCACCTATGAGGCAAGGTAAGCAACACCCTTGGTGGCAAGATCCATAGGGGCAGCAGATCCCAGTGTAGATCTTCATATAGATCTTCACTTGCTCCTTCTTCCCTGGCGAGGAAGGGGACACCATTTTGTGGTTTGGCTCAGGTGCCAAAATGTCTTGGGCTGGCCCTGCTTTTACTAGACATTACTTACTGGCAAGAGACAGAGGAAGGCTCAGATCTTCTGCTCTTGGAGGCAGCCAGAGGTTCCTTGTGCTAGCTAGCTTGACTGCAACGAAGGGTGGGATTCAATCAGTTTACACAAATTAAAAATTCAGTTTACACAATTAAAGTTTGGAGTTCTTGTGGAACAAACCTGTTTCTACCAAAAAAACCACCCAACAACCCCAACCCAGACTTTTTGTGATAAGGAAAGCAATGGGGGAAAGCATTTACTTGCTTGTTACACTTTTGTATGATCTCTGCACAATCAGACCACAACATATGTTGACTTCCAGTTGGAGTTATGGCAAGCTAAGATATTGCCTGCTAGCATTCCCACTAGCAGAGATTGTTCTACAGTGATGAGAGGTGGTCAGGAGATACCTAACTCGCCTTTGGACTGGGCTGTGTGTGTCCAAGGGCACAGCCTGCCTCAGATGTTCTGAAGAAGACATTCATCATCGTACTAGGGGAAAAAATAAATCTCTGGGAAGCTGACAAGCATCTAAAGCAAGGCAAATACATTATGGTTACCAGACATCCCTCTTTTCTGGGGACAGTCCCCAGATTTACAAATCTGTCCCCTGACAAAATCCATCCCCGGAATGTCCCCGGATTTCATTTAATGTCCCCGGATTTATACTTTAAGTGTTGTAGATTTATTAGTAGCGAATGAATGTCGCATGATTGGTTCAACGGCACAAGACACATCAAATGGGGACTTCCAGAGAGGCAACATGGCAAGCGCCATGGCAGCGAGCAGTTCCTGAAGCTACCAGGCTGGCTCCCGGCTGCTGAGACTGCCACTGTTGCCGCCACTACCGAAAGGGAACCGGGGACATCTGGCGCGTCAACTGGGGGAGCCATTGATTTTATTCTTACACATGTTTTGATTTCTGAAGATTTATATCTGGGATAAATGAAGATACATGCAGAGGTGATGGATGGAAGAGAGGGACCTGTGTGAAAACAGGCCAGAGGGGTTTTCCTCAGGGTGTGAGGCTGAGAATGGGGGAAGTGAGAGCTGGAAGACTCACTTTTCTTTGCATGTGGATTGAAGATTAAGGTATAATTATGACAGAGGGATATATACATATAATTTTGTGTTTTATTATAATTATTGCTATTTTTTCTACTCTTTCTATTTTCTTGTTCTTCTCTCTCCTCTATTTCTTGTCTTTTTGATTCTATTTGCTCTAGATACTATTTTAACGTTTTGATAAAACTTTAATAATAATCTTGGGGGGGGGGAGAATGGCAGGGGGTGGGACTCCCCTTGGTTTACAGACCACAACATACGCTAAATAAATAGCTGGTGTTGTCTAAGCTACCCACAAACTTTGTGAAAATAAATCAGGATGAACACCTGAATAAACAGGTTGTCTGGAAACAACCCTACAGCCTTTCCATTGTCCCATGCATTTATTTTGACTATTAACCAAGATACACGATTACACAAAGAGCAGGATATCAGGTTTATTAACAGTCATGAACAGAAGTCACATTCATTGCTGTTTATATATAAAGCTAGGCAGAAAATACAGTTGCCCATAAATTGAAGGGAAAAAATACTATAAGAGTTACATTTTAATTAAGATATCGGGGGAAACGGGCAGAGAACAAGGGGTGATAAAAAGAATTCGGTACGAACTGCTAAGAAACAAAAAGTTGCATCTACTCACTAACAAGAAATGAAAGGAGATTAATTATGAATTGGGGAAGGGGGGTGCAACTTATATTGCATTTTCTTTACAAACATTCAGACTGCTCAATAGATACTCTGTACGTTTCACTGGGGCTGGTTCTCTGTTGTAAAGGCCGTTCTGGCGACTTGGCTCTGAGTTTTAACAGGCCAGGGTCTAGACTAAGGAGAGGGTGGATGTTATTCTGATCAAATGATGTAGATGTCCCAGGCAAAGCAGCCTCTTGGAAGTGCAAGTCCTTCTTAGTAAATTTATTTTTTACTATGCTGCACAGCACACTGATCACCACTACAAGAGCACAGATGAAAAAAACAGTGGTACCTACAAGAATCTCGGTATAGCGGAACAAGGAGCTAATGCCTGCAAGACAAATAAAACTGCTTTGTTGAACTCGTTCTTTCCCGAATGCTTTTTGCGCACAAAATTGCCTTCCACATTCAAAAGAGCTCAGCCAACACGTCATAGAACAAGTCAAGGATTCTAGGAGACCAACATTCACATTTCATGCTCCTCCACACTCAGGACAGGAGTTAACTATCTTAGGGTGAAGACACAACATTTTTAGAACATAGTAAGGCTGAATTTGGAAGTTCTTCTGCCACACGCAGTGCAAACATAACTTGCCCTCTTCTGGAAAATATGGCCCTGCTTTCTGCAGCATTATGCACAGTTTGAATTTCTTTGTTTAAAAGCAAATCTGGGATAACCCCCCTGTCCATTAACCCCCATAGGCTACTAACCATCACTTCCTTACACTGCTTAGGGCAGTTTTGCAACTATCAAAATTTTTGCTGTTTCTTTCTTTTTCTTTTTTTATAAGGTCAAGGAAGAACATATAACAGAACATAATGCACATCACACCTGAAACAAAAGGAAGACAGCTCACACCAAGTGTGAAGCAAAATGCAGGACTGAAGGCTGAATCAGCATAAGGCTTGCTGGCACACATGCCTGAATATCTGTCTGTCATGCAAATTGTTAAGGCTAAGCTCACACTATTGAAGAACTCACCGTGACTGCTTTTTAAACACTGTGTCCACCTTCATCCATATATTCTCAGGTGATATGAACAGAAGCATAACTACATCAAAGACTTTCAGGAGCCACAGTACAACTAAAAAGGCATAATCTTACTCTGACAGCTTAAGAGGTTGCTACGGTAAACTGGCAGGTTGAATTTCCAATGCAAATAGCATACTTCTTCTAAGATGGACAATTATTTCAAACTCACCTTCTGTCTGATTCTACAAGATTTACTGTTCATAAGAAAAAAAAACCTGCCGTAGGATGAGCCCAGTCTTGTGCCAGCTGGCTGGGGTTTAAGAAGAGGAATATACTTCCCCATGCACATCCCACTACAAGCAAGAGAACAGCTTCCAGATTAAGATGTGCACCCAACTGATATCCCATAGAACGAGAAGGAACACCTTCTAATGGTCTACTGTGTCTCTGTTTTATTTTGTGATAAGCATTTATATTTTAGTTTTAACATTTTAATGCAAACTGCTGTTATGTTAAGCAGCATAACATATTTACTATTCTTACTAATTATTTTTATTCTTATCCTTAAGTATTCTCATTCTAATTCCCGATACTAAATAAACAAATAAATCCCAAAGCAGATTTATAAATACATACCTGTCTGTGGATTATGAAAGCACAGGGTTCCTGAATTTTTTGGAGAACGATCCTCATAACCTTCTTTACATTGACATATATATGTACCATATCCATTGTGACAGATTGCCTTGTCACCACATAGCCCAATCCCAGAGCTGCACTCATTCACATCTGGCAGGTAGAGAGAATAAAATTGGTCTGTAGTAACATGGTTATAAACTTTGAATAGCATGTTTTCAGACTACCATTCATATAAGCCACAGCTAACCAATTAAGTAGGAATTTAGTATGCATTGGAAGCTGTCTTACTGCCACTCATTACTTATGTCTCCCATGGACTGGCAGAATAAACACCAAGACAACAGCCCTAAGTCACATAGGTGCAAGAAGAAACAAGAAGAAAAAGATGTTACACAATCCCAGCTAAACAGATATAAACTAGAAACAACTGATACAAACAATTCTGAAAACAGAGGATAAGTCAAAATAACAAAAATATAAATGAAAATGTTGGGGTATGCAATGCTATGGCATTCCATATGTATGGAATAAAATAGATTTTCCTTAAGCTTTGGCTTTTCCTGATGTTAAGGATTAGTCTTTGCATGCACAAAACTTTTATTAGCCAGCTACCTTTTTAGATATGAGCACTGCATGCAGTATTTGAAGTATTATAGCTGATTAATTTCCCATCTTCTCCTTTTCTTCACCTCTTTCAGTAGACATTTTAAAAAAATCCCTCCCACTTTTCCTGTAGCATTCATTCTATGGTACCCCACCCCACGCCCAGCTCTTTCACTCACAATGATCACTTCATGGTTATGCATGTCACAAGCACTTCCTCACAGGTGGAAGCACTGTGGAACCTCCATTATGGCTGTACCAGAAATCCTGCTCAAGCATGTACTTTGCATGTGGCACACCAGAATGTCAACAAAATTGGCTGAAATGTCAAGGGTGGATGATCTTCACCACCATTAGCTTTTTAACTCGACAACACTAAAGCTCCATCTGCACTATACACCTAAAAGCATTGTTATACGACATTAAACTGTCATGGCTTCCCCAAAAGAATCCTGGGAACTGTAGTTTGTTGTAAGAAGACCCCTATTCCCCTCACAGAGCTAAAATTCTCAGAATTCCCTGGAAAGGATTGGCTGTTGCTGTTTATGGCGTGAAGGCTGCCATAAACAGATTTGCCCAGCACACTTCCGACCAGACTCTTAGCAGAGTTGAAATACAGTCTGCAGCTAAGCGTGAGGAAATTGGCCCTGAGTCTCGATTGATGAGACAGATTACTTTATTGCCTGTCATTAAACTTAACAGTTGCTATTTACAAGAAACTAATGTAGATCCCCGCGGCAGATCTGCTTGCATCCTCTCAGCAGATCAAAACCAAAACGCTCTCTTAGTCACTCTCACATAATGCGCTGCGCGTGACTTCACTCTTATCTTTGCACCAGTGTAAACAATCCAGCTTCACAACCAGAGTTTCATCTTACATGCAGAAACTCAGGAAGACAGTTTTCTGAAAACGAATGACCAGTACCCCCAACAAAACCATGCTGAGAATTGTAGCTCTGAGGAGAAATAGGGGTCTCCTAGCAATTCTTAGCAACCTTAACAAACTGCAGTCCCCAGGGATGCCATAACTTCTTAAAGTGGTATGATCCTGCTTTAAATGCATAGTGCAGCTGGGTCATGGACACTGAGGGGATAACCCATAGTCTTCATGTACATGGTTTCAACAATGACTTGCTTTGGAGCAGGACCTGTCATTGTAAAATAAAGTGCTAGAAGCCAAAGGCGAATGTGCTTCAAACTCCATGAGGGGAAAGCAGATGGAGAAACAAGATGATTTGGAGAGAAGCAACTTTTGGGAAGAAGAGTTTGGATTTGATATCCTGCTTTATCACTACCCGAAGGAGTCTCAAAGCAGCTAACAATCTCCTTTCCCTTCCTCCCCCACAACAAACACTCTGTGAGGTGAGTGGGGCTGAGAGACTTCAGAGAAGTGTGACTAGCCCAAGGTCACCCAGCAGCTGCATGTGGAGGAGCAGGGACACGAACCTGGTTCACCAGATTACGAGTCCACTGCTCTCACCACTACACCACACTGGCACTCAGTGGGAAAGAGTTACACATGCCCCTTAATGGCTTCCCTGCTCCAAATTTTCCTCTCTTGAAGAGAAAAGCAGGTATTAGGCTTTAGTTGTATGCTGTAGATTTATGTGGGTCAAACTGCATGCAATACCTGGATTGCATCCTTCAACTGATACCAACTAGAATGAAGTTTCAGTCCCATTTGATGCCATGTAATCAACTTCTAAATTGATTTAGGAGACAGTAACACAATGTTAAGGTGTAATTCAACATCACACTATTACAATCGTTCTGTCTGCAAAGCACTTTTGCTTGCATGATGGAACAATAGCGATCTGTTTGCTGTTCTGGGGGATCTCCTGACTCCCCAAGCCTATCTGGGAGAAGCCCTCTTGTGCTGGCTCTCATTAATGCAATTGTTCAGTTGAATCCAGCTCTATGTGATCAGCTTAATTGTTCTGTGGATTAAAGGCCTAATCTTTCCTCCTACTTTCACTGGTGCAAAAATAGCAAGCCCAGAATTTTATTCACTGAATGATTAAAGTTTCTTTTCTAGCTAGTGATAGGAAGACCTGTGGAATTTCCCCCCTTACTCTCCCATCCCAGACCTCCCCATCTCTATCTAACTTGCTATTTTATACCACCCATAAATAGTGTAACTCTTTTTACACACCTCTCACCACAACTGTCTGAACCTTGCCAAGTTCCACAGATGCTCCACCAAGGTCTTCCAGTTGCACATGCAATAAGTGAGATATATTCTTTTCTTCTGGTGTTAGATGGAGCCAGAACATGAATATCAGGTTTGGACCATTTTGTCTACATATAAAAATGGAAGTATTAATTTCAAATGAGTGAGTACATTAACACTTCCCTTCTCTAGTAGCTGAGCACATATAATAAAGGTATTATCTCAGCTTGGGAATAAGAAGACAGAAGGCAAGTTGAAGGTTTACTACAGAGAAGGAAGGAAGAAGGGTTGGAAATAATATTGTTGGCTTTTCCTCATTAAGTGCAACTGATAAAGAATAGCACGCAAATTCAGGGTGCTTTAAACCAAGTTTGTTACCATTTTAGGGCAATCTATAGCTTAGTTGACATACCTATCAGTTTCAGTTTCTTCTTTCCTTATAATTTCCTTTAACTTGACTTCCTTGACTTTGATTGAGAGGAGTTTCACTTTCTCTTGCACCTGAAGAAAAAATGCCCAACTGTGGGTTTATATTACAGATAACCAATGGTTAAATCAATGGCAACAGAAACAAAGGTGCTGATAGCATAATTAATATCCTGTTAAAAATAACAACAAAAGCCTCACCTAGGTATGGTAGATCTCAGTTTTTCCTACTATGGGACAACTACGCAAGTATATGTAATATAAAAAAACTATTTTGTTTTTATAACTTTACTTCAAGTGTTTCAATTGCACCTATAATAAATCTGTATTATATATCTATTATATCTCTTCAATATGTTTCCACTCTTCTTTCCCTTCTTCTAACTCACAAAATTCTTATTCCATTTCTCAATATCAACATCTCTTAGTCACTCTGAATCTCTTTCACAAAAACGCTTATTATTCCAAAAACAGTGGATGCTCACCATTTCCCCAAATATGTCTATTTCCTTGTGTGCCTTCTGGTGATTCTGTGTGCTTCCATTTTATTCATCACAAAAAGGTGAAAATCCAAACTTTCTGCTGTCTTTAATTTGTCTGAATACCCATGTTTAACTAACTGTGCACTTTGAAAATTTATTAAACTCATTTTGTGGAACTGACATGATACCAGCATCAGCATGACGTGCCACAGGCAAGGTGTGCCCCCACCTCAAAAATAAAGAACTAAAATTGAGGACTTGAGGCTCCTCTATTAAAAGGACTGACATATAGCATTACAAACACAATCGGCTTTACCATACAACCAGTGCCATTTGTTTTCTTACCTGACTCTTAATAGAGTCTATGAGAGCTTTTTCCAACTCACTTCCAGTGGGAGAGCTCCATCCTTTGTTTTCTATACCAAAACTTATTTCAAACAGAAGATCTGTAGAAGACCCAAAGACTGCTGAAGTACAGTGAGGATACAGAAAATAGCAGAGCAATTCCAACAGCTTGCCACCGTATTTAAAGCTAACAGCCTAACAGCCCCCTAAGCCAGTGTGGTCTAGTGGTTAAGATGTCAGACTAGGACGTGGGATACCAGGGTTCAAATCCACACCCAGCCATGAAGCTCATTGGGTGACCTTAGGCCAGTCACAGTCTCTCAGATGGACCTACCTCACAGGGCTGTTGTGGGGATTAAAAGAGAAGGAGAAGCATGTATATCACCTTGAGCTCCTTGGAGGAAAAGGTGAGATATAAATGCAGGAAATAAATGAGCACAAAGGAAAGTGTTCCCTGCACCCAAATGGCCTACTTGCAGCATGAGTATCATTTGTTTAACAGTCAGTGATGTGTCAGGTCACCCAACCATTTAAAGGATCTACATTGGCTCCCAGAGCTGACCTTTAAAGCCCCAAACAACCTTGGCCCAGTATACACAAAGGAGTGTCTCCACCCCCATCGTTCAGTCTGGACACGGAGGTCCACCTCCAAAGGCCTTCTGACAGAAGTGAAGCTACAGGGAACCAGGCAGAGGGGCTTCTTGGTAGTGGTACCCTCCTTGTGGAATGCCCTCCCATGAGATGTCAAGGAGATAAATAACGACACAACTTTGCAAAGACATCTGAAGGCAGCCCTGTCTAGGGAAGTTTTTAATGTTTGATGTTTTGTTATGTTATTATATCCGTTGGAAGCCACCCAGAGTGGCTGGGGCAACCCAGTCAAATGGGTGGGGTACAAATAATAAATTATTATTAATTATTATTAAACTGCACTGGGAAAACAAGTTTTTTAAAAGTTCTTCCACCCTTGAGGAAGGGGATATGGAAACGTTACCTCCAGGATTGTGCTCAGATTCCAGTACAAAATTATTGTCATGGGGCTTCAAAACAGAATCCCTCTCTATGGAAGAAAGACAACGGAAAAATATCAATCTAGTACAGTACATACAGTTTATTGTAAAATAACCCCTCCACCCTAGCCCCATATGCAATATGTGGAATGAAAATACACTTTATGCTTGCACACATGTTTATATGCACAAGTAAAACATTTTTCACTGAACACAAGACACCTGACAGCCTTCAGAGAATTGGGGGCATTTGCCTTGTGATACCTTAAAGATTTAACAAATGGATTGTGGCATAGTCTTTTGCGGACTAGAATATCAGTAGGTAGGCGAATATAGACACAAACACAAAGAAAGAGATAGAGAGAAAACATAGTTGCCGTTTTGTCAAACAGTAGGGTTCCATTATCAATCAATCAATAAATATAAAAACAATTAAATGCAAACTGTACAGAGTGAAAATTCTGCAAAGAGCAGTGACCATTCATAATAAAAGTGACTGACCAGTACTGAACGAGTGGGGGAAATTCAATGTGTGAAGCAGCTCGGATTTAGAGTGACAATTTTGTTTCGTCTGCTAACAGTTACTGACTCCCCCTCCTATATCAAACACTAGAAAAAGCTGAAAACCACACACTGCTCAGTGGAGTTAAGCCAGATTTCTGAAACACACAGGCTAGCAAGGATTTCTTCTGTACTTTCCCCAATTAGCTCCGTTCATTTACCAGCCTCAGTTGACAGATAAGCAGTTTAGAGGTAACAAGACTTACCATAGGAATTATTCTCAACTTTCAATGAAGTTTTATGACTTGACACCTGAGCAGAAGGTGAGTAGGGAGGATTTGGGTTTATGCGTTTCTTTTGCAGTCGCTCTGCGTTTCTGGTTACTGGATTGTTGAGAGGCGAAGTAGAAACTGCCTCTACTTGGGTACCTTTTGAGTTCTTTGAGGGAACAGCCTGGAAATTCGTAGCTGTAGTGGTTGTGGGGCCCAAGAGTTTCCTATTAAGCATCCTTAGAGAAGGAGCAGGAAGCACATTAGGGTACCCTACAGTGGTCAGATAGGTTTTTGGCTTGGCTGTAGGAATGTCTGGCATTTCTGTAGTGAGCTGCTCTGCTCCACGAGAGTCATTTTTTCCTACAGCAGTAGTCACTGCTATGTACTTATCACTGTTGTCATTCTCTTCTCCAAAGGCTTGATTGTTCCTCTGCTCTCCTGTAAATACTTCCTGCAGTTCCAAGTGTTGAAATTCCATTTCATCCATGATTTTCCTGGAGAACTCAGAATTAGTCAGCAGTGAGTGAGGAACCTGTTCTTGCTTCTTCTCTGGGATACTTTTAGGAGGTGAAACTGGAGTTCTCTGATCTTCCATGAACATTTGTGGAAAAGTAGTGCCACTCAAGGCAGATGTTCCTAATATTGTTCTCCCAGTATTGCTCATGTATGCTGGCTTCCAGCGTGTGGTTCTGTGCCCACTATTTTGAAGATTGACAGATTTAGTGACAGTTCCATGACCTTTCATTGCCACCGATTTTGTCATCATTCTGACCTTTTGGGACACACGTAGTGTGGCTGAAGAGGCAATTGGCTTGTACATAATTGCTTTGTCTTCATTCTCAAAACTGCTTGATTCTAAGACTAGAGTTTTCTTGAAGTTGCTGGAAGAGGTTTCATTCCCATTCCTAATGTCATCAATAGTTGGCTTAGCAACATGTATCCTCTTTATATCAAGAGGTTTCAAGGTAACTTTTTTTTTGGTTTTCAAGAGAGAAACCGTAGGTTGTAGGAATGATTCTAAGCTTGTAGCGTTGCTATTTCCCCACCACCTCTCTTTACTAGTCGCAGGAAGCCCATTTTCGCTGCTAAGCTTTCTGCTAGTGTTTACAAAATCCAAAATATGCTGAGAGTGCATTATAAAAGACTTGGGAGAAAGTCCAGCACTGCTGTTAGATTTCACAACTGGCCTTTCACCACCAGTAAAAGTTTCATAATCTTCAAATACATAATACCGTCCTTTAAAATATTTATGACTATGGTTGTGAGAAGACATTGTTGACAAAAACACTATATGGACAGCCACAGCTTGTGCAGCAAACACCAAAGTACCATGGTTTCTGCATGCATAAGTTACTTTGCTTTCAACACTTGATAAGACTCCTTGGAATATGAGCTTATCCTGATTTTCTTCACATTGTGAAATCCCTTCAAATCCTTCTATGTAAATCAAGATGTGCTTGTGAGGACCAGCCCAGATAGTCCAGTTGCACCAGCTGTTGCCTGGCATCCTGCTCAGATCTGGAGGAGAGAAAGTTCCAGCATCGCCCTCCAAGACAGCGTGGCAACTCGTTACAGGAAGATACACCAGCAGCCAAGGGGATCCCAATTCTGTAGCTGGAAGATGAAAGAAGGTGTACAATCACCATCACTTTGGGCTCATCCACACTTCCGCTTGTTCGGAGCCTAGAAAGCATGGGTCCAAGGGGTTTTCTGTTTGTCCTATGCTTTCTTGGCACAGGTCTGAGTGGTTTTGCCTTTGTCCCACCATTTTCCTCCTGAAAACCTGCTCTTTCATGCTAATCAGAATAGATGGCAATTTGTGAAAAAACCAATTGCCATTTGTTCCAATTCAGCACTAAACTGTGGGTTTCCTCAGGGGGTAGTGGCAGAACAAATGGAAGTTTGGAGGATCCATTTATTGAGCACGATTGGTTTATTGCAGGCATAGGCAAACTCCGGCCCTCCAGATGTTTTGAGACTACAATTTCCATCATCCCTGACCACTGGTCCTGTTAGCTAGGGATGGTGGGAATTGTAGTTCCAAAACATCTGGAGGGCCAGAGTTTGCCTATGCCTGGTTTATTGCATTAGAAGAACGACAATAAAATTGCTAGCACATTTGCAAAGCTAAGTAGGGACTGGCCTGGTTTCTTGGCCTTTATTCAATGCTTTGAGCATCTGGAAGCACTTCATACATTGTATTAGTTATGCTTATGGCAATCTGGCCAGGCAGTTTGGTGTTCTACCTGTTTTGCAGTATACCCATATTGCTCACAGGCCAACTATAGGTCTACAATAGACAAAGAGAGACGGCATAAAAGATCTGCTCAGACAAGCTCCCCTTGCCCCCCAACACACACCCCAGAAGCAGACTGCTGATGTTGACAGATCACTGGTTGGGAAACAAGTGGAAGCCTGCCTGAGTTTAGGCAACTTCAAAATAATGCTGACTCTGGACACACCTTGCGAGGTAACACAACTGCTGAACAGTTGGCTTGCAATTTGCCAGTTTTCAAGGCAAGAAAAAACATTTCTGAAGATTTATCACAGGGCCACTTCACACATCCTTTCCAGATATAAAACAACTCCACATCATCCAGGGTTAAGAATGAAGCTGAAAAATCATTTTATTTTACTTCTTGGCATATACGTGCAGTTGGCATGTATGTCAAAAGCTGACAGCCCTTGCTCCTTGGTGCTGACTGGAGGCCACTGTTGTGGTTGTGACAGTATGGAAAACACCACACTAATCTTCTGACACCAACCAGTCAATCATTGTGCCACTTGGACAAAATCTGCTGAAGAAAATGTTGGAAGTTTGTATTTCCTATCCCATTTGCTGTAAGCTATCAAGAGCACAAATACAACTATCTGAGAACTATAGGTAGTCGATCAGGGTTATATGTTTCAGAAATAACAGCCTCCATCTTCTTGCACCTGAGCCATCACATCCAGTAATGGGATTTGCTTTGCTTGACTTCTCCTTCTCATTGCTCTGTTTGCAGGCACTGAACCCAACACCTCCCTCCCAAGGGCTCCCAACACAGAGATGCCAGGGATGTGGGGCTACAGCCCCTCCAGTTCCTCAGTTAATCTGAATCTTCTCATTGCTCAGCTGCAAAGTTCATAACCTACGTAGCTGAGCCTGAAATATTGGCTTGAGGAAAACTGGCAGAGAATAAATCAAATCACAGAATCCCACTGGTGGTCATCTGAGGGGCATGAAAATACCAGATCTGCAAAATTCAAAGAACACCCTAAAGCTGGAATAGGAGAGGCAGCTGTTTCTGACATGGGAGTAATGTGATACTTTAGAAATAAACATAATGTAAATACTGCCCTGTGGGCACTTGTACATCTAAAGTGTGGGGGATACAAAACAAACACACCACCTATCCTTCCCAGATTTAAAACAGGGCCTGAAATTTTCTCTAGCAGTTCTCCCTCTTTGTTTTAGCAGAGCCCAACCCAAGGGCTTAGTCAGGAAGAACAGCAGCAGCAGAAATCCATTGCTCACAGGCTCCTTGGCCGGCAGCAGCCCCACTCCCCATCCTGGAAGGAAGACAACTAGCCTTTAGGGATTACATTACCATTTGAATCATCCCTTTGGTATTGAGCCTGCCCTGCAGCCATACTGCACCCCCTCTACAAAGTACACAAATCCCAACAATACTTGTGCACAGTACAAAATTGCTGTCAAACCCATGAATGAATCACCTTGCTCCTTCACTGTCAATTTTAAAGCTCACCTGGTTTTGATTCCTGGGATCCATTAAGACTTGTGTCGGCCTAAAAAGAAAACCAAGGGATTTACTCTTATTATTATGCAAGTATAGCACAGATACAAGCGCTTTTCCCTACACACAGTCATTCCAGGGCTCACTGCTTATTAAGTGCCAAAATCCCATTAACTCCGGGAAGTGCACAGTTTATAGAGGAAATGGTGCGTTTATTTAACATATGTGGCTATTTCTATCAGAGGTACATGGGATATAAATGGAAGAATGAGGCACTTACATGAAGCCCTCTTGGGGCAAGATGTGTTTTGACTTGACTCTTAGGACAAAACCAATACTCACCCATTCATCATGTTTTCCTACATCAAAGTTTGGCGTTGGGAAACCCCTGGAAGCTTGATTAGTAGTTTCCTTCCCTAATGAGCAAGAGCAAAGCAAAAGAAGAAATAATGCCAGTGGAAAAAGCAACTTCATCATAAAGTTTTACCAAGCCCCTCCATTAAATATCTCCACAGTTGCTCCTTTCCTAAACCATTCAGAGTCTGCTGCAGCTGCTTCACTTGCTCTCTCTTAGGGAAGCCTGTTGCTGGAATCTCTCTCACTTTTCAAGGCCAGCCAATTCTCCCTCCACCCAAAGGCACTCTATTATCCAATCAGATTACAAGGTGCCAAGGAGCACTAATTAAATAGTTGAGGGCTTGCTAGCTTGAGAGGATGTTTGCATGTTTACTTAGAAGTAGGTAAGTTTCACTTTGCTTAATAAGCCAAGCCCCCAAGAAATAAGTTTGCAGATGGACATACACACAAATGTGGGTAGATGGCGTTTGCTAGCTGTGGACTGTACTCTCTAAGTTGTTGTAAAACATGCCTTTGAATTTGATAATAAAGATTGTTTCTATTTATACCATTCCCAGAGAGGTTCATGAGGCACCTGCTCTGTATTCTTTTTAAAGGTAAAGGTAAAGGTACCCCTGACCATTAGGTCCAGTCGCGGACGATTTGGGGGTTGCGCGTTCATTTCGCTCTTTGGCCAAGGGAGCCGGCGTTTGTCTGTAGACAGCTTCCAGGTCATGGGGCCAGCATGACTAAGCCGCTTCTGGCGAAACCAGAGCAGTGCACGGAAACACGGTTTACCTTCCTGCTGGGAAGGTAATCTACTTGCACTTGACGTGCTTTCGAACTGCTAGGTTGGCAGGAGCAGGGACTGAGCAACGGGAGCTCACCCCGTCGTGGGGATTCAAACCGCCGACCTTCTGATCGGCAAGCCCGGGGGGTGGGAAATACCCTGGGCTTTTTAGGGGCTTTTAATAGATTTTGTGGTGCTTCCTAAAGTTTTAAAGTCCTACCTGTTGCTCTTATTGATCATCTCTCATGTGACGTGTTTTATATTGCTTTATATTATCTATATTAACCATTTTTATGTACATGATGCCTCGAAGTGAACTTCAGTCATGGGGTGGCATGGAAATATTGTTAATAAATAAAATACATGTTTATTCAGGAAATAACTACTTCGCTAAAGAAAATCCAATGGAGTTAAATGACATTCTCAATGACTAGATAGAATTAGACTTAGTATGAATTTGAAGTCAAATAATAGAATAATGTATGACACACATACCATAAAGGACCAAGGCCAATAAACCTAAGATTTCCCGAACCCATGTTGGTAAGTTTTGGCACAGCACTTACAACAGCCCCACCTTTTAAATGGTGCATTATTGGTACCAAAAAAGCTTTGAATGGATATACAGTAAAGCTGGTCCTCTAGCTCCCTCTGGTGGCCATGTGTTGTTTTAGCACCAAAGAAAGCTGATAGCTGAGTGGCCAAAGCACCATCAGCTGCAGCACAGATGACATTTCCCAAGAAATCAGTATGCTCCCTACTTAAACATTAAATGAGAATATTGTTTTCATGATCCTGTATTACTTCCTACCAAATTATTGGTAGGAAGTGTAAACATTTTTTTAAAAAACTGGTTAATTGTGTTTCAATGTGTTTATTATTTCCTAACAAGAAATGCAACTTGCAATATAATACAACTTAGTAGCTGGCTGATCAAAATTGTATTCTTACAGCATTTAGTGGGGCAGACTTTTCTTGGCAGATGAAGGCACAGGGAAAGTTTTGTATGCCTAGTATCTCTCTTCATGCAAGCAGTAACAGTAGGAAAGCCTATTGAATTCAATGGGGCCTGCTCCCAGGTAAGTGGGGTTCAGAAGGCAGCCTAGGCTAGCTGAACCCACATTCCACCGAAAACAATGGGGAAAGTTAGTCATGACTTAAGTGCCAGTTCAGCTAATAGTATGGAATGTCAGAATACATTTGGCAACTTTAATGAAATATCCTTAGGCTCCAATTTGATGCACTTACCTGGGAGCAAGCCCCACTGAACACAATGGGTCTTACTTCCGAGTAAACATGCATAGGCTCAGGCTATGAGTTGACCACAAGCCTAATTCCAAAGCAGCTGTCTAGATTGCCTGGCCTCTTGTTGCTGTTCAGAGATGGCGCATGGAAGACACACATGCAACATATATCATGCACGAAGGTTGGAAATGAAAGTCGCAGCTCAGCCACCTCTAGGGCTATGGGCTCCTCACTACCTCTCAGCCTGAGCTCAGACAGCTGGATCCATGGGCAGAAGCTGCTCGTGTTCATGGAGCAAAAGCCAGGTGACAGAAGAAAAGGGATGTCTTGTCCATTGAAAAGTGCCACTGAGGTGATAAGAATACTTTGACTGATCCCAATCCAGTGGCTTCAGTAGTTGCCTCCTTGGTCTCACCTACATTCGTAAAGACAAAGTGCTTTATATGTGTTACAACACTGTGACACCAGATGGCGCTGTGGAGCCCTGTCTTTCGGCAACCGAATTTCCCTGTATGAAGTTTACAACGCATTTAACTGAATTGCTTTTTTGATGTGTCTAGGTCCAGCCCTGCACTGAAATTAAGCAAGCAAAGCTTTTCTTTTTTCCTGCCATGGACATGAAATGATGAAGAAAATTTCCAGCTGCTAAATTTTCTAAGTGTCAGGCTACTGTTGAAGGCACAGACTGAAGACAGCAGGAAAACGAGCAGCCATATCAAGAGTTGCAGGCTGGAATTCAGCAGCATTGTCTTCATTGTTGATGCTGTGCTCTAGAACATACAAAGTAATAAAAATGAGACTAATACCTATCCCTGTTAGCTGGAATTAGGAAGGCTGGCTTCCCAGAAAAAGTGAGCCTAGGCCCCTCCACTTTTAGAAACCAGGCACCCTGCTCACTTGGCTCCAGAGATTGTGGTGGGAGAGGCCTGGATTAGGAAAAGTGAAACTGCTTTGAAGTTTTATAAAGCCATACACATTTCCCCCCTGAAGTAGGAGAGAAAAGTATCTGATCCACAACTTTGGCTCTAACCCTGCAAATATTTGTAGAGTACCTACTGAGGTCAAAGAGGTATATAGACACAAACAACTAAAAAATTGGTTCATCAAGATTTGAACAGTGGCCTTACTCTGTGAAGACGGCTTTGAACGGAGACCAGAGAAGGTAATCTAAGGCCAATGTTTTTCAGACAAGAGAACATCTGTTTCCTTTCACTGCTAACCTGCTGTAAGGCTGTCCTGAAATGAATACTGACGTCTGTAAGTAGAGACGTTGTTGACATAGCACCTAATGTGATTTTTCTGCATGGGAAGGTGTTCCAGGGGCTGGGAGAGACATGAGATGTTTGTGTGCGATTGCAACATGGACTGGGATGGGTAATGGATGCCTCCCAAGCAAAACATTTATGCAAAGAGTGTAGGATGTCTCTAAACAGTATTTTGGGAACAGGAATATATTTTGGGTCTTCAACAACTAAGAAAACTAGCCAATGCCCACAATGCACACACACACACACACACACACACACACACACACACACACATGTTGGAAATATTACAAAGAAGAATGGCATGCTAACAGTAGTGATGGCCGGGAATAGCTGGGCAGCCTAACCAGAAGCTCCTGCAGTTTGAATAGTTGTGCAGAAGAAGGAGTTTCATTAGCTTCAGCTTTCCATTCAAGGCTGAAAAAGCTGCCCTTGCAAAAGTTTCCCTGTCTACACAGGTATTTAAATAAAGAACCCCTGCTGCTTGTAGCCATAAGTGCAATGGAAGGGATCAGGCTGCAGGCATAGGAATTTATTACAGCCATTTGAGTGACATCCCCCTGCCCCCCTCCCCCCAAAGAGGCTTTGGGCCTTGAATGGTTAAAGAAAGTCAGAAATGCAAGAGATGTAGTGGCTCTGATCATGAAGACAGTGACTGCCCGTTCTTTGCTCTGGAGGGTTGATGAAGCAGCAGGCCAGAAGCATCTGCATGGTCTGGATGGAGTTTGCTTCCTCAGGAGAAGCTGCTTGGCTCTTTCACTTCTCTTGGTAGGTGGAAACTTCTTGTTTTGGAAAAGTATTTTCTTCTGTCTGATGGATGCATGTTGCTTGCTGCTGTACTACTCTAACCAGCTTTGTAATTTTTAAGATTGCATTTAAGGTATCAACATTTTACAGATGTTTGTACAGTCATACCTCGGGTTGAATGTGCTTCGGGATGAACGCGTTCGAGTTGCACTCCGCGGCAACCCAGAAGTAACAGAGCACGTTACTTCCGGGTTTTGCCGCTCGCGCATGCGCAGATGGTCAAAATGGCGTCATGTGCATGTGCAGAAGCAGCGAAAAGCGACGCATGCATGCGCAGATGTGCCGTCGTTAGTTACGTTTGCTTCTGGATGCGAACGGGGCTCCGGAACAGATCCCGTTCACATCTAGAGGTACCACTGTATTGCTGTTTTTATGTTGCCTTTATTTCTTGTTCTTGTATGTTGCTTTGTGTGGCCTATAAATACATGGAATATAAATAAATAAATCCAAAGGTAAATATTTTATCTATAATATCCCTTCTCGCAATTAGCAGCTAATAGGGATGATTTCCTTGCTCCTTTGATATTTCACTTTATCTTCTGTACCCTGCCACTCAGCTCTCACCTGTGGCTCCTGGAAGCTGTCGACATACGACAGTGACCACATTCCGGGAATGGCTTCAACTGGCCAGCTAAACCAGGTGAGGATAGCCAATGGGTCCCAAACCCTTGGTAAGTGGGGCTCCCCCTGTACACGAAGACAGGCTCTGGAGGATTGAGTGGATGAGACCAATAGTGGGTCCAATGGTCAAGTAGGCGGTTTCTGCACGAGCTGCAGAGGGAGATGTGGGGCAGATGGGCCTTGTCAACCTGAAAAGGTAGCTCATCTAGAAGGAGGAAATCTTTCACCCTAAACCTCCAGTGCCGTGCAGGAGATCTTCGGGAGAAGAAAAGGCTAAGGAGTAAACCCTACACAAATCCAGAGTGGAGTCCCTAAAATGGTTGGACAGTGCCTTGTGCGCCTCCTTCCGGCAACTCCTGCAGCCCAGCTGGTGCCACATAAATTGTTCTGTTTTCCTTTGGACCACCTCAGCCAGGCCGCAGGGTGGGGGTCTTGTTATCCGGGCAGAAACTTGTGTTTCTGTTATGCTGCTTTTTTTCTTTAAAGAAATGCAACAGAAGCATCAAGCCTTTGGTAAATCATGCCACATTGATAAAAATCCCTTCAGTAGTTCACCAATGCCTTATATTTCCCCTCTGGCACACTTGAGCCTGGTGCTTGAAACGGCTGAATACTTTTACAGCACAGCACACTCCCATGTAGGAGTGGGGCAGGTAAGCCTTGCCCCACATGACTGATCACATGACATGGTGCGTGCACATCATTTGAATGGCAATGGCCATCAACTTTAGGGGGAGCCGAAGGGACCTTGGCCCCTAGGAGTTGGCTCCTAGGCTCCCATGTATGACTGCTCTGAAATCAGTGTTCAGGGAAGGGTTGCCACCTCAAGTCAGTTTTCTTTTCCCACAGCAGGTGTCACCATTGCATACTGCTTTGTGCTAAAAACAAACAAGCCAGCTCTTGGAAATCTCAATGTTTATTAGACTTCTAAACTGCTCAGAGAGATCTGGGGTGTGGGAAACAGAGTATTTTGTATCCTGGTGTTCATTTCAATGCAAATATGCTTGTTACCAATGCAAATCTGCCTATGCAAATCTGCCTGTGCGGAACCATGAAGGTTTAACGGCAGTATCCTTTGTGACCTTGGAAAGGAAATGCCGTTCTCGCAATTTGGTGACTGCTAGGGACCCGTGCCCGTGACCTTTCAGCATGCGGCAATCCTGGTTTAAAGTTAGCTCATAAATGACACACATGAGCTGGCTTCACAAATACCATATGCAATTCCAACTGCTGCTTTTTCAAACCCAGTGTTTCTTTTCTGTGACACTCAGGGCTCAACCCTGTAATTCCCGTGCCCTGCGAAAACTAAGCCTGCTACCAAGCCTAATCATGTGGAAATGAAACAATAGCATGTTTATTTCCTCTTGGCCTCCCCTACTCTCCCTTCCTCCACTCTTGTTTCTCCTTTGGCAAATTTTAGATTGTAAGCTCCTCAGGACAGGGATTTGCCCTCTGAGAAGTAGAATCACATGGATGGCCATATATAAATAATAATTCTACCCGTCTTACTGAATACAGTTTTGTCTTTTAAAAAAACCCTCCACATACTTTTCTTTTATTCTCACCCCCAACTCTATCACAGGATTCATGCATAAGTAGTGTTCGGAGATGAACATGTGATATATTCCATGAAGAAACATGGCCTTAATACAATAATGGTAAAATGTGTAGTGGCTGATATAAGGTGGTGGTGATACATTAATTGCAATTGCTAGCTCAAAAGTCGCAGGGCTTGATCTAGCCAAGATAAGCAATTTCAGGTGCCCGTATGCTCAACTCTGTCCCACTGAACTGAACTCAACTGAACTCAACTCTGTCCCACTGAAAGGGACCCCAAAGAGCTTAACTTTACTTGGCTCAGATCCTGCCTTTCCACATCCATAGTTCTGACACCCCTAAAGTCCCAGGTAAAAAGGTGAAGGTAAAGGTACCCCTGCCCGTATGGGCCAGTCGTGACCGACTCTGGGGTTGCGCGCCCATCTCGCTCTAGAGGCCAGGAGCCGGCGCTGTCCGGAGACACTTCCGGGTCATGTGGCCAGCGTGACGAAGCTGCTCTGGCGAGCCGGCACCAGCGCAGCACACGGAAACGTCGTTTACCTTCCCGCTATAAAGTGGTACCTATTTATCTACTTGCACTTAAGGGTGCTTTCGACCTGCTAAGTGGGCAGGAGCAGGGACCGAACGATGGGAGCTCACCCCGCCGCGGGGATTCGAACCGCCGACCATACGATCGGCAAGTCCTAGGCGCTGAGGTTTTACCCACAGCGCCACCTGCGTCCCTTAAAGTCCTAGGTAGGTTGTTGTTATTACCTTAATTTTGATATCAGTTGATTTTTATGATTTGTTTGTCTTTGTTGCTGACTAATTTCATGACAATGTCTTATGCTGAATTGGAAGGGAGCCCAAGGGCATACCCTCTAACATTTCTCCAATGAAAATAGGGACGTCCCATTCCATAATGATAATTTTAAAACTTATACCCCACACATCTTACGGAGTTGCCCCAGCCACTATGGGCAACTTCCAACCTATATAACAATGTAATAAAACATTAAACATTAAAAAAAAACCCTTTCCTGTACAGGATTGCCACCAGATGGCTCAGGGGTCAGATAACTCCATACTCTCCAATATTTCTCCTTAAGAAAAGTAGGATTTTCCAGGATCAAATCAGAAACTGGGACAGCTTCTCTAAATCAGGGATGTTCCCTGGAAAATAGGGACACTTGGAGGGTCTGCAAGGATCATCTAGTCCAACCGATGGAAGCAAAAGCTCTGAAAAAGCTCAATATGGAGGCCAAATGGCCGAAATATTGGGAAATTTTGGAACAAGATGGAGATAGGCTGAAATTGCAGAGTTTTGAGAAATTAAAAAACAAAGTGCGAGACTGGCTTCATTATTATCAGATAATGGAGGCATATAATCTGGATAAGAAAATTGGTTTCCAGGTGAATCAAAATTAGAAACAGAGCTATTAGAACCCAAAACTAAGATTTTGTCAAAGATGTATAACTTGCTGTTGAAATGGAATACTCAGGATGAAACGGTGAAATCTGTTATGATTAAATGGGCACAAGATGTTGGTCATAACATAACGATGGCTGACTGGGAACAGTTATGGACCACAGGTAGGAAGTTTACGGCATGTAATGCCCTAAGAGAGAATATTATGAAAATGATTTACAGGTGGTACATGACCCCAGTCAAGCTTGCAAAAATTTATCATTTGCCCGATAACAAATGTTGGAAATGTAAAGAAACTGAAGGTACATTCTTCCACCTTTGGTGGACGTGCCCAAGGATTAAGGCTTTCTGGGAAATGATATATAATGAACTGAAAAAGGTATTTAAATATACCTTCTTGAAGAAACCAGAGGCCTTTCTCCTAGGCATAGTCGGTCAATTGGTGCCAAAGAAGGATAGAACCTTTTTTATGTATGCCACAACAGCAGCAAGAATACTCATTGCAAAGTATTGGAAGACACAAGATCTACCCACTCTGGAAGAATGGCAGATGAAGCTGATGGACTATATGGAACTGGCAGAAATGACTGGCAGAATCCGAGACCAGGGAGAAGAGTCGGTGGAAGAAGATTGGAAGAAGTTCAAAGATTATCTACAGAAATATTGTAAAATTAATGAATGTTAGAACAATGTTGGATAGAAATTAAGTGGTTTCTAGCTGTAATGCTTTAAGGGAATATGAAAAAGGGGTTTTTAAGAGGTAAAAATCTAATGTTACTATTTTAAGACCAAAGATTAGGATAAACAAAGAGGGTAAGGATTTGCTGAACCAACAAACTGAACTGGAATACAAAAAAGGGAGGTATGAGGAGGTCTGGGAAACAAGCTAAAGAAAAATAAGCAATGGAAAATCTGAGTGTTTTTAATCATTTTTATTTTGTATTTTTTTTTCTTTCTCATTTTTTATTGTAATATCTTAAAAAAATCCTAATAAATATCTTATAAAAAAAACCCAAGGATCATCTAGTCCAACCCCCCACAACGGAGGAATCTCAACTAAAGCATCCCTGAGAGATGGCCATCCAACCTCTGCTTAAAAACCTCCAGAGAAGGAGAGTCTACAACTTCCTAAGGGAGTCCGTTCCATGGTCAGCTCTTACTTTCAGAAGGTTCTTCCTGATGTTGAGTCGGAATCTCCTTTCTTGTAACTTGAATCCATTGGTTCTGGTCCTACCCTCCAGAGCAGGAGGAAACATGCTGGAAAACAGCCTGAGTCAGGCCCTGGTTCCATCTTCTCCAGTACCGACTGCATGGACAGGCGCCCCTGCCCCCAGCTCTCCAGCCTTTCCCAGCCCTTCTCCCTGGATTCATTTTTATCTAGAGATATTGCGGACAAAACCTGATACCTAATACGTGCTCAGCATGTGCTCTGCTACCAATAGCCCCACCCAATGTAAAGCTTCCAGGTGACTGAGGTTTGGGCTTGTCCTCAGTGCATGGTGTCTTGAACCTCCAAGCCCTTTGCCATGGAAGGAACAATGCTCTTTGAGCCACATGGTAAGAGCAAAACCCATGAGCAACACAAGAAGATGCCCTGTACTCAGTCAGACCATTGATCCACCAAGCTCAGCATCAGGGTCGGTCCTGCTTCAGGGGGCAGGATCCACAGTGGCAGCAGATCCCAAAGTAGATCTCTATTCCTTCTCTTGTTCCTGACCTGCATCTGCACTCACCCCTTCTTCCCTGGCTGGGATGGGGAGGTGCCAGTTTGTGCTTTGCCTCAGGTGCCCAAATGCCCAGCACTGTTGTCACTGACCGGAAGAAGCTCTCCAGGATTTCAGACAGGAGCCTTTTCCCAGCCCTGGAGATGCTGGGGGTAGAACGTGGGACCTTCTGCATGCAAAGCATGTGCTCTGCAACTGAGCCTCATGTGGCTGGACATTGTTTAATAGGCCTGCAGAGGATCAGGGATTTCAAGGGATGCAGGAAAGCAGGGAAGATCTGCAGCTACCTGTGCTGCTTCTGGAATGGAATTGGAGGGTGGGGAGACAGGGCAGCCACAGGGTATCTCAGCCTGGTTACACTCTGGTGCTTAGCCAGGTTGTTTTCAGGGAAGAAATGGAGTGGGCTTGGGAGGATACACAGAAAGAGACTGGCAGAAAACCTGCTTGTGTGGCTGTGAGATACAACAAGGCAGGCTGGCAAGCGGCAGTGGCAGCCGCTCCTCCCGCCCTGTGTTCTGTGTGTGTATCTGTACCATCTCTTCCGCCCACTTTGCTTTGATCAATTAAAAGCATTTTGTACCTTAGACAGACCTCTCGCTTCCTTGGTGCTTTGTCTCCTTGCCTGCCTTCCTCCACCCCCAGTCCAGCTTCTTTTCTGCTTCTCCCTCCTCCTCAGCTGATGCTGCACCAGCCCCCCCCCCCACTCCTGAACTTGCTCTCCCCCTGCCCCCCAGCTCCCATGCATGCACTACTTGGGTGGGTTAAAAAACAACAACAAACTTTTAAATAAAATATCTATTTTATTTGGGTGCATCTCAGGGTTCACCTTTCTCTTGTGCACAGGTTGTTGCTGTGTTGGCTTCAGAAAGATCAGTGCTAAAAGGCTGAAGATGAGAAATAAACATTAATGTTATTTACACAGGATTTCCTGGTCATTTATGTTTTAAAGAGATATTAGCACTAATAGGAGAACACATTTCAGGCTATTAGAAACAACAGTAAGCATCTTTTTGAAAATTGTCCTTGAACATTGTCCAGTGGGAGAATTTGCAAATTGGCTAGGAAAACCAGCTCTACAATACTATGATTCTAAGTCTGCAAATGGCCAGTTTATATACCTTGCTAGATGCTGCTACTTTCATTAGTTTTGGCATGAGCTGAGCATATGGGTAGGACCACAAAATGAAGATAACATAACATCATGAGCTGTATTGCTGAGGTTGGGTAATAAACTTATGCCTGTTTTAACCAGCCATCAAGGCCAGACTCCAAGGCCAGTGAAATAAACAAAAAAGTGGGGTGAGGTGGGGGAACTGATACTGAATCTTATTTAAACAGACATTTTAACAACTTGGAAAACTGATTTTTAAAAATTATTTTACTGAAAGCTTGTTGCTTCTTTTATTGCCCCTCTAATTTTTCTCTTCTCCTTCCATTAAAAGTACTTTGAGATCTTGGGGCAAGTAGTTTATTTATGACTAAGCCACTTAAAATGTACTTTGCATGCAATAATGATGTTGTAAACATCCACTTTGATTGTGCAAAGTAGCTCTCTCCTCAGGTCTTGGTATGGCTGATCCTCTTAAAAAAATTAAGAAGCCAGCTTTAGGAAGTGGCACTTGCCAGTCCTCGTGGGAGCAAAAGGCAGGTTTGGTTTTTAAAGTAATGGAAAAGAAAGAGGCACTTTGGTTTAGGCCTGATGAAATGAAACAGCTTGCATTTATATTGCTGGTTTCCCAGAAGCAGCATTAAGGTGTATGGGCACCAGGATTTGCGGGGTGGGATGATGCCACTAGCACTATCTGTTTGTGCACCTACACGCTTCCTCCCCCTGCTCAAGCTGTGCATTTGTAAATAAACAAATAGCACAAAACCACTCAGTCTCGAATATTCTCTCTGCCCAAGGAAGCTGAGCCTCTAGGTACAAAAGGAACTCTTTGAGAAAGGTCATGCAAAATAATGGTAGCAACAGCAGTAACAACCACGACGTCAATGTCAGGCTGTATGCAGAAATCCGCATTCTCTTCAGAATATTTGTACTGAATTTGTTTAGCATGTTCCCTACCTCCCCACCCATTTCATTTGTGAAATTGCACTTGGCATCTGTTCTCCTCCTGCAAGTCCCACCTGGGTTCATGGGCTGCCAAGCTTGAAGTTGGCAGAACCTGGAGTCATAACATACAGTGTACCAGTTAGTCATGAAAGTATTTCGCTGTAATATAAAGTTGAGCTTCTGAGTTCAGTCTGATCGAGCCACAGTGATAAACTCAAGGAGGTCTTACGATGCTGTAATTTAGAGTTTATAAAGCATCACTTAGGCAGATGCCAATTAATGCTGGTGGTTTGCCTTGTTTATGATGTGGCAAACTAATTAACCCAACACACAGAGGTGTGATCTGCATTCAAAGGAAAATGGGAACAGGCTGTGCCCAAATGTAACAAGGGAGTGTACTAAAGAGACCTTCCATTATTCCTTCTCACATCAAGCTTCTTCCAGAGCTAGAAAGAATATGCACATCATAAATGGATATGTTGACTGCCAGTCAAGCACACACTTGGATTCCCATCCATTGAAGTTTAGACACCAGGCTACAGAATTCTGGAGTTTCCAGGACAAGGGAAGGCCCATCTAGAGCGCACTGCAGCAATCCAGTCTTGACGTCCCCAATGCCTGCACTCCTGTGGATCAAGCTCTTCTGGTCCAGGAACGGTCATAGCTGCCATACCAGGCGCAGCTCATAAAAGGTACTTCTAGCCAATGAGGCTACTTGGACTTCCAGTGACAAAGCTGGACACAGAAACACCCCAGACAGCATGCCTGCTCTTTCAGGGGGAATGCTACCCTGGGCTGGGCAGCCAATTTATCACATATGGGAACCCACCCTCCCCAAGTGCCTTGATCTTGCCATGAATCAAGCATAGCTTATCTCCCCACACCCACCTCAGCACTGCCTGTAGGCTACAAGCAGTGTTGAGAGTGCAACATATTTCTAAGAAGTAGTCAAAGAGATAAAGATCAGCACCAGCACGCCTGAATAGCATGAGCAAAGCCAGTTCAGTGGTTCCTGTGTTGACAGGAAGAAACATATCTGTGGAACTAGCAGGGTACACACACACACGAAGGATTGAGTAGGGAGAAACACATTGTAATAACTGAATGTTTCTACTGAGGTGAGTGAATAATTAAAGCAGTTAATTCAAGGCTGCCTTTCCTATGAAATGGATAGCAGCCCATATAAACAGGAAAGTGGGAAGAGGCCAAAGACTAGAGATTTGTCATGGAATATTAGCAGGACATTATAAGTGTACATAAGGTGTGTTCAGAAAGGAGAACTGCTGGAAGGGCAAGAAGGTGTGCAGTGCCAGGTGGGCCTTGCATGCCGGGTAAGTTTTTGCACATGGGAGACAGACAGCTTTCATTCAAAAGTCCTGTACTTCACAGCTTCCCACTGCATGCATCTGTTTCCTATGCCAGCTGAGGACCTGCACAGTGGCAGAATCAGCTCCCAGCCAGTGAGTCCTTCTGAATTCCTGGCTCCCCTGCCAGGCCCTCACTTGGTTAATTGCTGCCACCAACCATGTTCCCATCTCCACCATATGCAGTTCAGGAAACTCAAGGTGTGGTTTTGCTACCGCAGGCAAGGTATTCTGTGAAACATCCTATCACTGTGTTCTTTAACTTGGGGTTAAAACTATTGTGATGAATTTTGGTGTTCAGGGTTTGGCTAAACAGTGTGGGGGGTCCTATTTACTGAACACAGCATGTTTCCTACTCATGCAACAGTGAAGCTTGGAAGAGGAAAATCCAATGCTTCTGCAACTGACCTCCCTACTCCACCCCCCCCAATAGATGAGATGACTGAACAGTCCACTGAATGTCACACAAATCATGCTGGAAGCCATCAATTGCTGTACTGCTTGTCAGGTGAAGTTAGTATCCTGGTCACCTTTCCACATGAAAAAGCAAAATTGGGATATGTGTGTTTCAGTTTATCAAGCTCAAACTAAAACCATCTTAGATGTACGGTACATAGCTGTCAGGGTCTCCACTGCCCCAGAATCAACAGCTTAGCCATTGCCAGCAGCCCTGGACCCAGCAATGACAGTGAACATAGTAAAAAGCAAAGAAACTGCTTCTCTTTGCTTCCCCCATTCTAAAGACAGGGAACCATTGCATGTCATCCCTCTCACTTCTCTTTTTCATGTTTCATTGATCTTACTTACCTAAAGCTCTTGTGAGACCTGGACTCCCATTAACTTGCAGGCCAACTTTTCCTCCTCCTGCTTTGTTTCTCCCTTCTGCAGTCTCCCTGGGTCTCTAAATGCCTGCCCGAGAAATACCCAACTCTCTCTCTGTAGTAGGAACTGTGTAAGCTCAGGGTCCAGGCAATGAGAATTGGGTCGCCTGCACAATTTGTAACCATTTAACTCTCTTGCATTTCTGTATTGGTGCTCCAAGCCACAAAGCCATTCCTGTTTGTCCTTTGTCATTTTGTAGAAATAAAATAAATAAAGCATAGCATATGGTGTGGGTTGTTGCTAATTCCCCTGAAGAAACAAGATAATATTGGCATTTATTGATTCCTGCCAATTACCCCCAAATGAGCAAAGCAACATGGGTCATTTCTAATGTAATTGTGCCAGTAGCAATAATTTCTGTGCCATATAAAGATCCTCAAAGTAGTAGCTCTGTGAAAATGTCTGTAAGTAAGATTCAGGCTCATGTCTATGTGTCTGTGAGTAGATTTAGTAACAGCCTCTGACTGATGACATAGTGGAGATTTCTGCTAATTCTCAGATTTCAGTATCAACCTCAACATTACATAATTACACACTGAATAGCTGGAGGAATTGAAATCATTCCTAGAGTTGTTGGAGCTTTTAAAAAAATGTATTTTAAAGTTTGCCTAGCAACAGAGGAGACTGAAAACACCCCATATTGGCCAATATGTTTATGACATCTCTGACCTGGTCTTCCAGTTTCTCTTTATCAGTCTTCAGTTCAGTGTCCACTCTCTCTCGTCTTTATTGATAGCTCTGTTGTCTCCTGACAAGCCCCCAAATCTTGTCCAGCCTTTAAAAGTGAGGAATTTGAAACTTTCAGGAGGCTGGAAGAGGGTGGCTCTGTTGATTCAACTTCTATTGCTAAGTTACAGGGACACAGGTGGTGCTGTGGTCTAAACCACCAAGCCTCTTGGGTTTGCGGATCGGAAGGTCAGTAGTGTGAATCCGCACAATGGGGTGAGCTCCTGTTGTTTTGGTCCACTCCTGCCAACCCAGCAGTTTGAAAGCATACCATCGTGAGTAGATAAATAGGTACCGCTGCAGTAGGAAGGGAAATGGCATTTCTGTGCACTCTGGCTTCTTGTCTCGGTGTCCCGTTGCACCAGAAGCAGTTTAGACATGTTGGCCACATGACCCGGCTCCCTCGGCCTGAAAGTGGAGATGAGTGTTGCATCCCATAGTCGAATTCAACTGGACTTAACTGTCCTGGGGTCCTTTTCCTTTACTTTTTTTACTTAGCTGTCCTCTTACTGATCTTTTTTGAGCAATCTTTTGCAATCTTCTGGTCACAAAAATCTTGCAAAGGACCTAGTAAACCCTTTGAGAAGGTTGCATTTCTTATCTGAGTCTCTAGAAATCCCAGGAATGCAAAGGAAGCAGGTAGGAGACTGCTGAAGAGTAGAAGGTGAGGAATCCAGGGGTCTTGATAGCCTCTTTTGATAGAGGAGGCAGGTGATGGGATAGGAACAGGAGGCTTGTCTTTGAATTGTGGGGAAAAGGAGATGGTAGGTTAACTGATGCTCATTTTGTCTCCCTCCTGGAGACATCCACAAAGAGAGAGAGGGCACAAAGCTTTGTGTATGTTAGTTTAGAGATGCAAATTTAGAAATAATCATTCCAGTTTAAATATAAATACTACTAATATTGCCACAGTTGGGTAGACTGTTTCAATTTGATGTAATATTTGTATGCTGCTTTTGGAACAACCAAGCTGAGCTGAGTCAGCTCACAACAACAACAACAACAACAACAACAAAACCTAATAAAAACAACTGCTAATACAGAAAAAATGCAATAAAGGTATAACAAATACAATCTATGAATCAAAACAGTATAAATTGCAATATATGAATGTATTATAATCAATAATATGCCAGTAATGTTGATCAGCTCTGAAGCAACACTCCCAATCATACCCAAACAAGTCTCCCCATCTCTCCCCTCTCACCTGAAGACTGTGACCAAGTTACCTGTTTGTCTGCTCAGTCTGCTGCCGAGCTACTATGTGTTGATGGGAAACTTCAAGCCCCCAGTTCTCCCTTCTTATGGTTAGGCTGGGTATGGTCTGAAGGCACATGAGGCCACAACCTTGCTGAAGCTAAGCAGGTTTGGGTGTGGTCAGTTTCTGGATGGGTGACAGCTTGGGAATCACTAGGCCACTCTGGGTTCCATGGCTAGGAAAAGGTGGGATAGAGAAGTAACAATATAAGAGTAAGAATTCTTTATAATTAAATTGGACATGGACTGAGAGCCCTTCAAACAGAAGCCTCTCTCCTTTGTAAAGTAGAACACGTGGACACCCAAGGCAATCTTTTCATTGCGGCATTTCAGCAGAGCCTCGAAGAGGAACCAGGCAGGCATGGGGAGGTGCTTAAATTTGGATAGTGCCTCCCTTTTGGGGGGAGGAAATTACTATGTGTTTTGGAATCTCTGCTCTTTAATTCCAAGCACACGGGCACAGGCTGTAGTGACTCAAGCTGACTGATGATTTATCCCAGCAATCTGCATTAGGGAAAATCCCATACCTGAAGATCTTCCTTGAACTGAGTACTGGCCGATTGCCAGGACTCTGCTGAGTAAGCTCAAGACAATGCCCTTATACCTCGCAAAGGAAGGTACCAAAAGGAGGGCATTGTAGAATGAAAGGGTGGTGAAACAGATGCCTAGAGAATGCAAACAATGCATGTATGCTCAGATTACATATTTCACATCATCTGAAAAGTGATGTAAGAAAACCTTTCAAACAGTACATGACTGCATTTGCAAAATTAGTAACACACAAGGGTGACATTAAATGAAACCAGCCCTCCACAGAAGTAAGTGGTCTGCTAAAAAGGAGCCAGTGAGTCAGTGAGCCAGTGAGTCAGTGCTCATCTCTGCTCATTTCACGTTAAAGTATCTCTCCTTTTGAGGGCGACAGCAACGCCCATACAATAACCTGTTCCCTTTTTACAAATTAGGATCTGACGTGGTAAAAAACTATGGTCTGGCCTATGCAGTAAGTCCAGGATGAGGGCAGCATTTGAATGCAGGCCTCCTCTGTCATTTCTTACAGTGGCTGAGCATGAACGGGGGGGGCGGGGGGGCGGGGAGGACTGTTTGGCATCTTCCCTCTCCTCCGCTACCAGAACTGTTTAGCCTTGGTTACTGTTCTGAGGGCCCGGCTAGGTGTCTCAGCTGCAAGGCTGTTTGAAGACCACTTCTTAGGTGACACAAGCATTGCAAGATGGTGTTGGAAGCACATGCCAGCAGGGTAGCCCCAGAGAGAGACAACAGAAGGCACCAGCCCATTGGGGGAAACCTCTGATGGGTGAAGATGAGCAGAAGTGGCAGGGCTCTCTGCTGTGATGGGGCGGGGAGCTTTGCATTTAATTTTCCTTGTGGAAATTAGATGTTTTCATTTTGGGAGGAATTCAATGTAGCACTTAAGCAGATTGCTCTGTCTGTGCATGCATTTCCGCCTGCCAGATGGAATGATCTGCCCTCTCCTCCTCCCATGCACTGTTCTGGGGGGTTCTCCCAATTCCCCCTGAGTCAATTTGGTGGGACAGGAAGGGCAAAGCCTCATTGTGCTAGAGGAAGTCCTTGCATGGGCTTCTGCTGGTGGGGCTTCTTAGTGGAATCCCAACCTAAGAGTTTAGCTGTCCCAAATGGGGATTGAACCTGCAACCTTGGCATTATCAACATACTCTATCCAACTGAGCTATCCAGGAACTATCTTTTGATGGGACTGTATTGATCACACCAGGCTTTCCTGGTGGAATACTTTTCAGTGACAAAAGCACAAAATAGAACCACTAAGGAAAGAATTCTGTAGAAGTTTCTTGTTAAAAGAGTTCTGTAGAAATCGTGCAATGGTTGCCAGACAGGAAAGAGCTGAGGATGAAGCTTTCTTTGCCTGTGAGGAATGCTCTACCGAACTGTAGAGGTTTTGGCTCAGCCAAAAAGTTGAGTTGCAAGAGTGTGGGAGGTGAGTTACAAGGTGGCAAAACTGGTGCACGGTGCATAAGATGACCCAGTTTATTGGTGTAATGGGCATTGGTCCAATGGAACAACACTTGCAAATATCCACATGCTTTTACTATGACCAAGTGCAACGTATGTGATTCATTTGTTGGTATCCATAACTCCCTGCCCTCATCATGACTAAACACTGAAAAGAGATTCTGAGAACAGCAACAATTTCTGTTTGTATAGCATCTCGTTATTTGCTAGGCCCTGTTGTGCTCTGCTACCTGGCAAACTCACCTGGCAGGAAATTTCTTTTGTTAAGCCAATTCATCTGAGTTCTAAAGCATGAAATATGTTTGTGTTAAACATCCCTTTTCTAACATAATTGATTTTCACTGATTTACAAAGAAAGTATGCTTAAGAACATAAATAGAACCCTGCTTGATCAGACCAAAAGACGATCTAGTTCACTATTCTGTTCCCACAGTGGCTAGCCAGATGCCACTGCTAGTGGGACTTGAGGATAACCTTGTAATTCCAAACAACTGGTATTCAGAAGAACAGAGGCTCCAATACTAGAGGTAGCATGCTAGTAGCTGGGAGTCCCACATGCTCCACAAACACAACTCTGGTCATGACATTTGCAACATTTTTCACCAGCTAGTTTCCAAACAAAAGGCAGCACCATCTAGTGACTGGCCTTGAACATGCCGAAATCTATCCCTGTTAATGTAACTACAGTCGTACCTTGGATTACAGACGCTTCAGGTTACAGACTCCGCTGAAATAGTACCTTGGGTTAAGAACTTTCCTTCAGGATGAGAACAGAAATCGTGCTCCAGAGGCACAGCAGCAGTGGGAGGCCCCATTAGTTAAAGTGGTACCTCAGGTTAAGAACAGTTTCAGGTTAAGAATGGACCTCCGGAACAAATCAAGTTCTTAACCCGAGGTACCACTGTATGTACAAATGGTTCTGAATCAGACCTCAGTCATGGTGCAAAGATATAGCACTATAGTTTGTAATAATTAAGATGCAATCTAAAAGTATTCCGTGTGAATTGATATGGAGGATTTGAAATGTGATGTAATTATGAAATACAAGGGACTGCCACCCCTGGCCACCCCCTCCTCCCTTGACACTGCCCCCACCCCTTGCCCCTCTTCCCTTGCCAAAAGCGCCTTCACTCACAGATCACCCCCATCCTCCACTTGCCTTTATATGAGGGAGGCACTTCACAGAGCGCCTTCTAAACCTTTCTCCGAAATGCTTCCCCCCACTCCTTGGTTCAAGGCCTCCCACCAGCGCTGCTTCCTCACTCTCTTGCCTGCCGTTTGTCACACTGGAGTTGGTGTAGTCAGCTGTTTAAAGGTAAAGTTACCCCTGACGTTAGGTCCAGTCACGGAAAACTTGGGGGTTGCACACTCATCTCGCTCTATGGGCCGAGGGAGCCAGCGTTTGTCCACAGACAGCTTCCAAGTCATGTGGCCAGCATGACTAAGCCGCTTGTGGCGAACCAGAGCAGTGCACAGAAATGCCATTTACCTTCCCGCCGGAGCGGTACCTATTTATCTACTTGCACTTTGACGTGCTTTCGAACTGCTAGGTTGGCAGGAGCAGGCACCGAGTAACGGGAGCTCACCCCGTCCCAGGGATTTGAACCGCCAACCTTCTGCAGGATCTAATCATTGTACTAAAAAAGTACAATGTAAAAAGAGAAAGAGTGTTATATCACTGCTAGGTGGGCAGGAGCTGGGACAGAGCAACGGGAGTTCACTCCGTCGCGGGGATTCGAACCACTGATCTTCTGATCAGCAAGCCCTAGGCTCTGTGGTTTAGACCACAGAGCGCCACCCGCGTCCCTCAGTCAGCTGTTTACAGACACGCAAACTGGATTAAGAAGTGTTGGATTCCTAAATCCAAGGGTTGTGATTTGCTTCCTGCAGTGGTATTGTTCAGTGAGCAACACAGAATGGCATGATGCAACACAACCCTGCTAAAATATCCCAAAGATGTATTCAGTGCTAGCCATACAGAACTGTGAGCAGTCACTGAGTCACACCCCACTTGGTTAATTAGACTAGAGACAGATAAACCTGTACATGGCCTTGCTGAATCAGCAGCACAGCTTTTGGGGAGAGATAAGGAAGCCGGGGAAGACGTCCGATGTGCAGAAACTTTTTGGAGAGGCAGATACTAGCATAAATGAAGTGTGCTGGATTTCAGCCTTAGGGATACTATAAAAAGGCAGTTTTGCCTCTGTGCTGATGTTAGATTTCTGATGATGTTAACAACTTTTTCACTTTTATTCCAAATCAGTGGAAGGCTGCAAATTAGGAACAAAGGATTAGGAGCAGGCCAAGAGTTGTATTCTACCTATCCAGTCTCCAGTCCAGCAACAGGAAAACTCTTCTGTCAAATCTAACAGCTGCTTCACACAATACCCTCAATCATGCACACAGACCTGTGTATTAAAGGCATATTAAAGTCATGCCATAGCATTCTGCTGCATATGCGTGGAAGTACAAAACAGTTGTGCAATTTTGAGGCAGAAGGTGTACACATTTCACCTCCATTTTGCAGTATTGCACTTGGGCAAAAAAAAATGAGAGGCACAAATACAAGATGGGTGACACCTGGCTTGAGAGCAGTACATGTGAAAAGGATCTAGGAGTCTTGGTTGACCACAAACTTGACATGAGCCAACAGTGTGATGCGGCAGCTCAAAAAGCCAGTGCAATTCTGGGCTGCATCAATAGGAGTATAGCATCTAGATCAAGGGAAGTAATAGTGCCACTGTATTCTGCTCTGGTCAGACCTCACCTGGAGTACTGTGTCCAGTTCTGGGCACCACAGTTCAAGAAGGACACTGACAAACTGGAACGTGTCCAGAGGAGGGCAACCAAAATGGTTAAAGGCCTGGAAACGATGCCTTATGAGGAACGGCTAAGGGAGCTGGGCATGTTTAGCCTGGAGAAGAGGAGGTTAAGGGGTGATATGATAGCCATGTTCAAATATATAAAAGGATGTCACATAGAGGAGGGAGAAAGGTTGTTTTCTGCTGCTCCAGAGAAGCGGACACAGAGCAATGGATCCAAACTACAAGAAAGAAGATTCCACCTAAACATTAGGAAGAACTTCCTGACAGTAAGAGCTGTTCGACAGTGGAATTTGCTGCCAAGGAGTGTGGTGGAGTCTCCTTCTTTGGAGGTCTTTAAGCAGAGGCTTGACAACCATATGTCAGGAGTGCTCTGATGGTGTTTCCTGCTTGGCAGGGGGTTGGACTCGAT